CCGCTGGGAACAGCCCCGAGTCGCCGCACCTGCCCGATGCATCTACAGTGTGGCGACCGCCCACTCCTGGGACATCGGGGCTCAGGCCCCTCCCGCGAGGAAGCAGTGTAATGCCACCGGCAAAGCCACCCTGGCTTCTTGAGTGCCCGGATGGAAGAGAAGGCCAGGCAGAGGCACGTTTTCCCACAACCCGCCACCAACAGGTGTGCAACCACAGGCATAGGAGCCTGATGAGACCGGGGAGCCCTGTTACCGATGTGAGCTTGAACAACGGCTCCCAGGAGGAAGGTAAGGCAGCCTTGCTTAGTGGGGGGCCTCAGAGTTGTTTGACGGGGACCCCAGATATTCAAGACATAGGAGTCACCGGCCTAGAGCTCGGATAATCTCTAAAGTCCTTTATGGGGATTTACGCATCATCTCCGACCCTGATAGAGCAGCGCAGCCACCATGACGTCAGGGAGGAAAGACAGCGTGAGCCTCCCCAATTCCAGACACCAGCGATTCTTTTTACAAATGAATGTTTGAAGTCTTAAAACAGAAGTAAAAAGAATTTGCATTTTAGTCCAGTATCACCAAAACATTTCTATCCTACCCTAGGCTATCTAAACATTTTTTTAATATATTTTTATGTTTTTCAAATATATATTTATTAAGTATGATTTCAGAGAGGAAGGGAGAGGGAGAGATAGAAACATCGATGATGAGAATTATTGATTGGGGATCAATAATTCTCACACCCCACACTGAGGATCGAGTCTGCAACCCGGGCATGTGCCCCAACCAGGAAGTGACCTCCTGGTTCATAGGTCAACACGCAACCACTGACCCACACTGGCGGGGCTCTAAACATTTTTCACTCTGCGGGCGGAAATCCCTGGAAAAGACAAGACTGCTTACAGCCAGTCATCGTTATCTAAACGGAGAGCCCGTCTGTGTGTATTTCATGACCGTAGTAATGCTAAATGCCTTTTAAAAACCATTTAATACCTTCTATAACTTTTATGGTACATCAAATTACAAGCGTACTCTCGTGGAAGAAAACTGTCTACATTCTAGCACAGCTGTGTGTAAAATGAATAATTGATAAGTGAGGGCAAAGAGCTTTGAAAACCTAGGGGTACCGTATGGATAGTAAAGAAATACTGCAGCCAGCAAGCCAGCCAGGGCCCAGAAACTCAGCCACTATGCAAAAGCAGCAATCCGTGAGGCTGGACTAATGCCTGTGCGGGTGGGGCTTTTAAATTCCTCCTGGAAAGGAGCTCTGAAAGGTCCTCTCTCCAACTTGGGCAAAAGGCAGTGTCTCTGACAAACAAAACCAGCTACTCGAGACCCCAGCTCACTGGGAAGCGGGGGATTGCAAAGGAGCAGCAGGCCTCTGGCTTCGGGGTCCCTGCCACCCAGCTGCCCGGGGCCCACAGTGACAGGACGGCACGGGTCCCCCTCCGTGGGTCCCTCAGGAACCAACAGGGACCCCTCGGTGCCGGAGGTAAGCACGAGGACCCACCTCTCCGTCTGGATTCTGTGAAGGAAGGACTGTGGTCCGACATTTCAGTGTCGCTGCGGACTGAACGCATGGACCCTTTCATTCTGCGATTTCACACGGACACTGAACTGTGCCGTGAACCTCGGCACGCACCTACGCACGGCGGAGCCCTTCCCTTCTTTCCTACCATCGAAAGCTTACGATCAAAGCAGGGTGGCCAAACGTTTCGGGACTACGTTAGCACCTTTTCCGTTCACACACTCCACGCAGCCGGGAAGCGCCTGCTGAGCTAACAGCCTCACGTTCGTCCTACTAGTGGGGCCCCACTATTCCTGCTCCTACGAAGGTTCATCTATAATAATAAAAGCTAATTAGACGGGACAGCCAAACGACCTTCCAGACGACCTTCCGGACAAAGCTGGGGCTGCGTGCATCGGGCCTCAAGTCTGACCATGAAACGCCCGTATTCACTAAGCCATGCTTTATTCCCTGGAAACCCTGAGTGCTTGGTGTTCTTCCCGCCAGTATTTCTCACGTCCTCTTCCACCTCTGGGCATCTTTCTTTTTACTTTCCAAAACATAGCAGCTGCCTGAAGCAGTTTGAAAAGAAATCGATGGGGTTTATTTCACATGATTGAGGCCCGAGAACATTAGTAAAGTGCATAAGCTCGGCTAACTGCAGACCTGGGATTCTGCAGGAGAAAAACCCACAGGAGAGCTGCAGGGAAGAGCCCACAGCGAAAGGCCTCCCACCGCTCCCCGCGACCCACGCTTTCCCTGAGGGGTGGCCTTAGTCCCCCCGTCTTCCACCAGGGCCGGCCTGTTCATTCAGACACGGCACAGGTCCTGACATTATAAAGACTCGACACGGAGCACCTGCTGCCCACTTTGCCTCATTGACACCTTAGTTACCAAATCTCCAAAGAATTAAGGGAAAAGTGAAGCTGTAGCCTGTCCCTCCAGACACTCTCTGAAGTGATTCTCCCCGGGGCTCAGGTAGGCAACACAGCATACGAGACCGAGGGACCCTCCCTAATTTAAACACGCAAAACAGACGGCCAGGCCCAAGGGGCCCGGTCCCACCCATCTGACTTGTGCTCTGACCACAGCCCCCCTGGGACTGCGGAGCCCCCAGGGCGGCAGGAGGCCACAGCATCTTCCTCCTCCCCAGGCCCTGCTTCTCCCAGCACCAAGCCCCGGCCATGCCTGCGGAGCTGGCTCTGCTTCCAACCTGCAGGGCCGTCACGCACAGTCCTCCCCGGGATGCATAGTCCTCCCCGGGGTGCACAGTCCTCCCCAGGGCGGCGGACCTCGGCACAGAAGCCGCCACCAATGCCCTGGCAGGTACAGCCAGCGGTTCTCCACGGAAACACACCCGGCCCACGCAGGCCACAGAGCCCCGGCCCTCAGGGCCAGGCTATGTGCCACCACCAGGGTCCCTTCCACTCACTGGTTCTCTTTGGAACTTTAGAGACGGGGACAGGAAATTGGGGTCGTTCAATAGGGGTGTTTTTTTTCTTTCTTTCCTCCCAGCTGCTGCTGGCTGAGAAGGAGAAAGACGCTCTCTGACCGAAGCAGGGCGGGGTGCCAGGCTCGCCTACCGTAAGGGTACTTGGTGTCAAGCTTCCGCTCCGCTGTCCTCCTCCAAGGCAGCAGGTCGTCGCTGCACCCGTTGGGCATCCCGTTGTACCCGATGCCCACAATCTTGTTTTCTGCGTTGACGATACAGGCTCCCACCTGCAGCGAAACATGCCCGAAGGCCTGGTGACTGCCTGGCCGGACTGCCACGCTCAAGGCTGTCAATGGAACCAGAGGCCCGCAGAGCTCCAAGAGGGCACGCAGCTTCTGGGGGTGCTAGGAGCTCTGCGTCCTCGCTTCTGTTCCGTGGCGGTTCCCACGAGCCAAAGAAAGAGCGACCCTGGCCCCAGATCGGGTGGAGAGGCACCCACAATCTCTCCCACAGGAAGACGGACGCATAGGGGTGCAGCACAAAGGGCAGCAGCTTCACTCTGCCCCGTGAGCGGCCTTTGCAATGTGCTCACTGGCAGGCATCTCTGCGTCAGCGAGGGCCCAATCGTCCCCCTGCAAAAGTCACTTACCTGGGAATTGGGATCTTTGCTCCTCTGTGCCGACAGGAAGGCCACGGCCATGAAATACTCGGGCCATTCCAGATAGTCCTCACGTTTCTTGCAGGGGACTTCGCTCATGCTGGGTCTGAAGGAAACACAACGAACATCAGCGGAGAAAAGCATTGGGGTCAACCCGCTCTCCGGTCCACCCCAACCCCGTTCAGACTGCGCAAGGCAGGACTCCGACAACTTCCGGTGCGAGTACCAGTCAGATATCACAGGACATGGACCACCCCCCAGACCGTCTCTGGTCTCAAGAATATTAAGTTACTATTTCAGAAGTTTGAATTTGGCACAGAGCTTCACATACCCACATAGTTCACCAATGTACTGCGTTGTCACAGGCTTTTAAAAGTCAATACCAATGCCTGCCCTACAAATTGTTCTCATCCCGCACCACCCTCTGCTCTAAGATGGGGCCAGGGCAAGAGGGAGGGGTGGGAAGAGAACATTTATTGATCACCTAATACATTTCAGATACGATTAAAGGCTATACATCACCTCACTCACGCTGCCTTCCTAAGGCAGACAGTACCACCGTCCTGGAGACCGAGAGAACTTGGGTAACTCGCCCTAAGTCACGCAGGATTATTACCCATGCCCGTCGGATTCCACTTGGCACTGTCCCACCTCTGACCTTAACTAGATCCTACGTCCCTTCCCTTCCCCTTAGATTCCCCAGGTGGGACAGTTATCAAGTCTGAGGTGAGGACTGAACCAAAGGAGGAGCCGCTCTGACAAGCGCCACCTGCTTCACTAAGTCCAGGTTTTAGGGGCGTGGGCTTGACCCCAAGCAGGCACCACCTCCACAGCAGGGAGAACCCCCGAAGGGGACCCAACACTTCCAGCAGAGAGGGGAGAGGGTCCTTTCGGGGACAAGGAGGGAGGTCAGCACGAAGACTGGGTGGGTGTCACTGAGAAGTCTCCAGAAGCCTAGACAGCGGGGCTAAAGGAAGGCAGCCAGACTGAGATGCAACAGGCCGGTCTGGGAACCAAGGTCACCCAGCGATCACGTTGCCCGGGTCCTGTGAACCCTCTCAACAGCGAGCAGGCCGGATAGGGCTGGTTTAGCACCGGCTCAAGGGCTGGCACCCTAACTGCTGCAGGGTGCCAGGGAAGCGCCTGCAACCACAAGGGGGAAGAGGGGCGGGGAGAGGCAAGAAGTGAACTTATCCCCTCGGGCGCCTTCCCAGAGTCTGGTTTAACGCTCAGGGGTGCCCCACACCCAGCTGCAGAAACAGGGAGGGACAACTAGTCCAGGGAGGTGCCCCCCCCGGTCACCCAGGGGGCAGATCGCA